GGAGATTTCCCCCCCGGATTGTTCAGCCTTAATGTAAAGAACTGGTGTCACTTCACTCACTGATTGTTTAAAAGCACAAATTAGGCTTTAGGTATAGAGTTCTCTTTACAGTCGGGGCTGCAACTAATGATAATTCTTGTTGATTAATCTGCCATTTATTTTCTCATTTCATCAATTAGTTGTTTGGTGTAAAACGTTTGTCAGTGTTTCCCAAAGCCCAAGAGGACACACGTCTTGTTTTGTCCACGACCGTCGTAAAGGAGGAAAGAAATTTAGAAAATAATCATGTTTGAGAAGCTGAAATCAGAGAATTTTTACTTTTTTTCTTTAAAAAGTTACTTGAACCCATGATCAAAATGTATTGTTGTCAGCTAATATCTAACCGTTCCAGCTGTAATTCAAAATCATCCAAAAAATCTATCAAAAGCAGCAACTTCTCACATGTAGAGGAGGAATATTTGGGATTTGTGGTTGAAAAAAATCACTGCAAGGGACTCATTTTTTTGCATATTTCAGTGATTTCCAGCTTCATTAATCTGCAACCTGATGTCAATACATATTGTTAAAGTTTAATTTCAATCAGCCCTATAAGTTTTTACTGTCATCCATCCAGATGTTTGATCTTGCCACCCAGATTAGCTCCTGATAAACCTGATTAACTCGTCGTTTATGTTGAAGCTCATCTCAGGTAAATGAGGCGTCGTCGGCTCAGCTTGATCAGGATTTGTTGATTTTGTTTACCTTCCGTTTTCGCCTTCAGCTGCTCAGGCCTGCGGGGAAACGCTGCTCCTCTGGTTGATAAGTAACCGTTGATGAAAAGTCTTTCCATTCCGCTCCGTTGTCGGCCTCATTAGCTGCGTTTCAGCTGACGGGCAGCGCCGGCCGGAGACTTGACCGGAGGTTGTTAACCGCATTAGCTCGCCATGCGTTTCACCTGGAGGCCCAGCGGAGGGGTCACTTCTACCCAAACAGCCTTAAAGTCCTGTTTCCTCTTATAGGACACAGATCGTTTGGCTGTCATCTGAGGAAGTTGTCTAATCTTAGCCGTGAAACTTATCCCCCCCCCTTTGCTCTGAGGGCTGCTGGGTAGAAGCTCACTGTCGGAGGCTTCAGTCGCATTTGCTACCTGCGAACTGTGGCAGGAAGTTAGAATGAGAGTTACAGGTAAGCTGCATGGGCCGAGTGTTGGAAAGGCAGATGTCAGTGTTGAATTAATGTGTAACAACCACAGCGATGTGTTGTTTGCTGTCAGTGTGGCTGTGCATCAGATTCTGCAGCTGTTTAGAAAGCTGCAGTAACACAATGTTTTCACTGTTAACCCCCATAGTTTATTGGAATCAGTAACTCAAAGTGCGCATTGGATGAAAGGTCCAGAAATGTACAACGATGAGCTTCACTGACCTCTTTAAACGTTGCACTGAAGTCTTAAAAGCTTTAAAGTGATTCCACCCAGTTTTACAGAGTTATTATGCAACACGTTGGAAGCTCAGGTTTGCGAGTATTATTAGAAAGGCTGAAGGCTGAGTTGTAAATTGTGAGAAATGTAGAAGAAGATCCTGAATATCTTATTGTTTTTGCAGCAGAAATAGGATTTTAAAAAAAAATAAATTGCAGTCTAGTCCTTTAAAATCTTGTCATGAGGTTTAAGTGTTGAGATGTATTTTCTTATATTTTAACTTTGACAATTCACTCACGGCGATGTGCAGATGTCTGTCAGCTTAAGAAACACAATTTACACCTCTTTTATTGATCATCTCAGAGTAGACACAGAACAGAACAACCTGAATGTGCTTAATGGAGCTGCAGTGATCAGTTAATTAATTGATTAGTCGACTGAATGACAATTATTGAGCAGCTTTTTTGATAATCACTTCATCTTGTGTTATTTTTCAAGCCAAAACACTGAAAGTTTTCTGGTTCCAGATTATAAAATGCGAGAGTTTACTGCCTTTCTTAGTTTTGCGTTAGCTAATTTTTGTCTTTGTGTCACGCAAAATGATTTTAATAATGTCGATTATGTCTCTAAGATATTGTGGTTTTATTTTATTTTTTACAGTTTTCTGATATTTTATAAACCAAGCAATTAAACTATGAATTGAAATATTAATTAACACATTATTTAGTGATCAAAACGCTTAGAAACTAGTCATCATTTAAAATCAGAATGTTTGTTTTTGATCATTTTAGTATATTTGTGTTGTTTTCTGCTTTTTTTGTGATAAAGCTATTGATATAAGGCCACAAATGGGAGATAATCTGAAGCATAAGTTATTGATACTGTGGTCTTTGTCCGAAAGTTTCTCACAAATTTGCTGTGTGAACGATTATTAAAGTCCACATTAGTAGTTTCTGTTCCTCCCTCCGTGTTGTTTAGGATTTGCTGCTCCTTCCTGCAGGTTTCGGTTCTGGCAGCTCATGGAACAGGACACTTGGGAGATGTTTGGTCAGTCTAATGCGTTCTTCATTGAAAGTTTACTTTGCATGAATTTGGCAAAGAGCTCGTCCTTTGGTTTGAGTTGCTTCGCTTCATCTGTAAAAGAATCTGGATATATACAGTATGATTAGGAGAGCAGCTGCATGGAGCTTTGCCATTTGCTTTGTTTGTGTTTGTTACTCGATATTAGTGTTGTGATTTTTTACATACGGTAGCTTTGATGCTGCTGACTGGAAGCCCTCAGTGTCAGTTTGGCTCCAGATGTGAACCAGCTGCAACAACTTTTCACAAGAACCATCAGGACTCTGGTCAAGACAGTAAAGGCAAAAGCAAACATGACCTTTTCTCATTTATTAATAGCATCTCTCTGACCGTTTGTGGTGTTTTTGCTGTAATATTAGGTTTTCTTGATCCAGCTACATTTCAGCATAAACCTTCAAAGGCTTTTTGGCGTTTTGTACTGGAAAAACCAGCATTCTTTCTAGTTTTTTGCCCTAAATGACCCACCGTTGACATGGAAAATGCACTTTAGGGGCTGCCAAACTATATTTTTAAATGACTGTTTATAATTGACATGGAGAATCCAATTTTAATTATGGAAGCAGGTCAGAGGGAGGAGGAGGAGGAGGTGGAGGAGGAGGGCCTTCAGGCTGTTCAGGAGTGCAGTCTATTTGGGAACAGTTCATGTGCTCCGTAACGGTTGGTTCACGTCTCTCTTCTCCATATCAGATCTATAATAGCTCCTCTGGATGACGGATTCAGAAACATCGGCCTAACGACATCGCCACGCTGCTTTATTTAGGAGCGCACTGTAAACAAGGGTTTACATGTGCTGCCGCTGAGTCAACGCTCATCCGCAAAGTGGCCACTGACAGAGCGACCTTTCACATGTTCCCTCGGACACATGAGGTGGATCAAACGGAGCAGAATGCCAGTGTTGATCTGCAGTCAGCTGGATGGTATAAAAACAGACACAGCTGTAGAGGAGAGATGAGGCTGTACTGTCCCTACTACTTTCTAATCTCAAATATGCCTTGTTGTATTAGACTATTAGGAAGAACCACTGATGCTTCCTCATGACAGATGTCTGTAGTCCTTCTTCTAAAGTTTTCAGTCATTGCTGGTCCTCGTAAAATACTACTGGTGCACCCATGCAGAAATGACACGACACAAAGCACATTTAAAACTCCTGTATGCTGTGAAATGCAAAGATCAGCAAGGCCTTTAATATGATGAACGTTTATGTATATTTAGATGAGCACAACTACTGGATGGCAGCATTGGATGTGTTGTTTTTGTGCATCATAATGATGAAATACCTGGGATGTTTCTGCTCTCAAGCAAAAGCAGATAAAGTAGCATGTCGCAACTTCAACTTGGCTTGTGGGCCACAACATGAAGTGAAGACTAGGGGTTGACTGATTATTGGATTGTAAGTACTTTTTGCAATTAATATCATTAATTTTTAACCGATTTCCAGTAAAGTAAGTTGCATCTTAGCGTCTGATGCAGCCACGTCCCGCCCTCATGTCAAGGTAATAACCTCTGATTACTAACGGATCAGTGTCGAACAGCTATATTATAATGAAACACTTACAAAAATAGTTTTATTCCAAAAATAAATACCTTAAGTTAATATCTAGGGGTTTAAGTGCAAAAATGTAAGCAGCCATGACTTTTATTCACACTTAACTAAGATAACTAAAGGTTCGCACCACCAAAAAACAGAATGAAAGACCATTAAAATAAAAAAGCAAAACAGTGCAGTTGGCTGTTTATTAAAATAGAAAGTAATAAAAAAGAAAAAAAAGTTAAACAGCAGTGATTGATTTTCCTAAATTAGATTTTCACCAGTGTTTATACAGTCAAGATTAACATTTATATCTTCCAAAAAGCTGTAAATAATTACATAGTTGGGTAGAAAACAAACCGTTCTTCAACATGTTTTACTGCGTTCGAGTGAGTTCAAGATACCGACAGCAATAGAAGTCGTATGTTACTAAGCACCACTAGAGGGCCGAAATCTGAGGATCTGAGGTCAAAAGTCTTCAGGGTCTATAAAAACTACCCGGCTGTGTCGCCTTTGTCAACCTCATCTACATCTCTACTCCTCCAGATTTAACAAAACCGGCCGTCTCTGCAGCCGTGAAGTCGACTTGTGTTGTGAGAAGACAGCAGCCCTTTTGTTCCTGCTCATAATGTTTCCATAGAAAATGAACACACTGGACCTCTGTGCTCATAAATGTCAGATGCAAACACACCTGTGAAAAAGCAGAGGTCACATTAAGTGGGTCTCACAAAGACACGCTTTTGTGTGACGCATCATAAAATGGACGGCGGCCTTTCATGTCAAACTTAGGAAGAAGTTGTACATTTTTTAAGTTGTGCTCCTACTGACACGACCGAGCTGTGGAGTCAACGGGTTGCAGCGGTCGATTCAAATCCTGACAAAATGAGGAATGTTGTGTTTACATCAGAAGATTTATCGAATGCTGAGTTTTGCTAGTTGCTGCTCACCTGTGTGCATCACTAACCTGATTAATGTTTCCTTTGTGTTTTGTCTCAGTCTGCAGGTTGCATGGTAGTCTGGACTTGATGCATGGCAGTTGCATGACTGCACTGAGTCTTGTTGTGGGACTGAGAGCGCACAGCTGCAGCCATGGCTCAAACCATCCACGTGAACGGCAATGGCCCAGGTAACCAGCCTTTTTGTCGCATTACTTCATCACACCCGCCTTCTTGTGCTTTTAAATTGGATTTTGAGTGTATTTGTGAAACAGTAGCGTGCTAATATCTCATCCTGATATCTGTCTTGTGTGTTTTATTTGTAGTCTGACTCATCACGGTTTTGTTTTAGTTTTGATTAATAGTGCGTCCGCTGTTACCTATCATGAGATGTCAGGCCGCCTCGTGAGTAACATGTGGTCACCCGGGCTAAATAAAACTGAGTAGAACGGGGACACAATGGGGCTAAAGTTGGATCAGGTGTCCAGTGTCAGGCTTATGTCATGCAGGTTTATTTAACTGGTCGGCTCCGGCATCATGTCTGTTCGTGTCTCAACACTGTGATTTGCAAGGTTCTGATTTTAGCTGAGTCGTTCAGTAACCCCTCAGGCATCAAAAGACAAATGTGCATATAGTGACTGTGTATTTAAATCATGATAAAATCAGGGCAGCTAGTATTTGTAGCATCGGGCTACATGTACCAGGGGCAATATAATTACAACTAGTGAGCAGCTGAGCAATCTGCTATTTCTGGAAATGAGGGATGTGGCTGAAATATTTATTTTAATATGAATAGTTTTTTATTGTTTGATTGCTTTTTTCATGTTATTTTTGCATCTATGTGGCTGATATGACATTACATCAAACAGTCACATCAAACACCGCTACTGGCTAAAGCTAAGTCACATCAGTCCAGAGAAGGTAATTTAACAGTAATTATTGCCCAGAGCAGATAAACTCTGCACTTTGCATTTCAGATCCCTGCTTCTCAGTCAAATGGCTCTTGAAGTATTTATTATGGTGGAATGTTGCATATTAAGTTAAATCACAGGACTTGAGTTTTCCAACAGTTGTAGTTGCTCGTCTGTGCAACAAAGTGTTGGCGAATAAATATTGAATTTACATCAAATGTAATCATTGTTACAGCCTGTGTAAAGCTGTGTGTCCATCTCCACATCTGTTACCTTTGCATATATATGTTAATATCAAAAAACAAGAAAGAATGGAAAGGGAGTTTTCTAGTAATGCTTGGTACATATTTGTACAGAATTAATCATGTTTTCGAGATGAAGCAAAAGTTTTGTCTTTACTAGTTTCGCCACATATTTTTACACTCCTGCTTCTCAGTTTAATTAGTTGTAAAGATCTCTGTTGTTTCATAATGTTTGGCCTACTGCATATTGAAATAAACAGCAGAACTAAACCTTTCTCATGAGAACCAAACCGGTTCTGCAATTACAGCAAATATCTGCCTGATATCAAACATCGAGCCAACGTTACATCCCACTTTGTCTTCGAAAATAAACACACAATTTGCTTTTCATTGCAGTGATTCAGAAGTTGTGTTTCAAAGCTGAATGTAGGTTATATGCGCATATTTTCCTCTACATCTTAGTTTTACATTATCCCACCTTGATGATTCTGACATTTCCAGAGTTCATAAAATCTCTCATACATGCTCATGAAATGACTGCCAGTACTTTATGGTAAGATACATGTAAAAACAGAACAATGTCATGATTAGATTTTTTTTTTCTTGATATATAGGCTGATATATTAAAAAAAAAAAAACTGCAATAATTACATCACATGATGGAAGATCTGCAAAGCTGAGACTGCTCTGAAGAAACAAGATACAGCATGTGTGGATATAATGACTAATGATGATCATGATAAATGTAAAGGTGATGAAAATACCCAAAAAATAGCCTCAGGAGGAGTTCAGAGGTTTAAATATGATCTAAAGCATGTTTTAATCTGCGCTGTACGCATTTGTTCTCTCGTGGACGTCACACATACTCGCAAGAATGTTGAACTTTAGCTTAAGGTGGTCAAAAAGTCACATTTCGTCCAAGTCATTTCTGCTCCTGCCCTCTCTCTGAAACACACTGCGGTTGTGTTCACGCAGCGCACACGTAGAGAAGATTTCCACGCTTCGGTGTGAAATGATCGCCGTCAGCCGCTCTGAACACACACCTGCAGACGGCTCGCATTCCTGCGCGGTCTAACAGGAGAGAGTGAAGCTTCTTACTTCCAAATCCCTCCAGGAATGCACAGCATGCAGGACAGATGCCTTTCAGGACGCTCCAACGCCGTCCCGAGCGTCGCCCTGCCGCCACCGAGCACACGACTCTGATACCTTTACTGCGGATTCACTTCAAAGGCCACAGGCGGTTTTATTATCCAATTCCGGAGAATGTAAAAAAAAAAACTCTGAGGAATGCTACGCTAACACTGCTAACCTCCTCCCCCCCGGCAAACCGTAAAAATAGCTCCTCTGCAGTGTTGGCAGTTAACAGGCCAAAGTGGTCACCTGCTGCGGTAAAAGAATTTGAAGAAGACGGCGATATTTAACCTTTGGCGTGTAGATGCTTCGGTGTAGCTGCTATTGCACAAAAGCACTGTAAATTATTAAGTTGTTGATCAGAGCGTGGACCTTCTGAGATTGATTTTTGAAGCTGAAAGTGTTTAGTGGAAGTTTTTTACCACCAGTTTTACACATTAAGTTTAGGTGGTTGTTTATGAGAAGTCCTGCTCAGCCTGTCAAACATCTTCTGTGGCTCTGCAGGAACTTTGTTAGTTACTCTGAAGGTGTTTAGATTTTCTCAGCCTGGGTTTGTACATTTTTAACAGACGGTTTGCAACATAAACTAGAGGTGTTGAGTGACCAATTAGGAGTTTAAATGAAATGGTGCTGAGTTGTTGTTTTTGGTGAGATCGCTGCAAAGTGAGGAACACTGCGTAAAAGAGACCAATAGGCTACTTTTAAACAGTCCTGCATGCTTGTCTATATGTGATGTGTGAAGCTTAAACTTTGAAGAAGCAAATAACTCGGCTGTCTTTGAAGATGTCTACAGCATAGTTGCAAAGATTAATCAGTTACCCCAACTATTCGATTAATCAGCAACTATTTTGAGTAATTTATCAGGACAAAAGTAAAAGTTCTCTAATTCTGTCTTCTTAAACTTGAATATTTTCTGGATTCGGTCCGTCTATGAGAGTCGTCTTTTAGATTTGTGGGCAAAACAAGATATTTGTGTAGCTCATCTTGGGCTTTGGCAAACCCATTTCATGACCAAACAACTAATCTAAGTGTTCGAGAACAAAGTCAACAGGTTAATTGAAAAGGAAAATAGTGGTTAGTTCCACCTCCACTCTACAGTTACAGCAGATATTTTACCAGATCATATCAGAGTGTACCTGATAACAGGAATGACGGCCGCATTCCATTCAGGTGAGCTCTTCCTGGAAACTCATTACTGTTCATTCTGGTTTACTGACAGACACTTAATGGAACTCAGCCATCGTCATAATTACACCTGTGCTGTGATGACGGTCAGATAAATCCGTATAAAATATAATTTTTTGAGTTCCTGAACTTAATACTTAAACTTGTGAGGTTAGTTTGTGGCATAAGACTGATCTCTTTTTTTGGAAAGTGTTTTGGGTTGACAGCTGCTATATAAATAACAATCGCTTAACGTTTCCTGCAGTGACAAGCTGTGACTTCTGCTGTAAAAAAGGTCTAGTTTGGCAAAGAAGTGATTCAGGTATAATCAGTGTATAAAAAACTATAAATGTAAAAACAATGACTGTAAGAAACAAGCTAAGTAATGACAAAATATGCATGACACCTTCACAAATATTAAACGTTGCAAAAAGGATTTCTAATTTCTAATGCACAGATTTTAAAAGCCACTCTGGTCGTTGATTAAACACCTAGAAACTTATGTCAGTGTCTCAAAGTTACATATTTAATTTTTCCCCCAATATTTCACATGCAGCTGCAATATTTAGTTTTACTGTTTTTGTTCATTCTTACTGCTTCATCAGCTTCATTTGCAGCTGCAACAGGCAGCTGTTTCCCCCCAAAAAGCCCAGAAAAGCCCACAGTAACACTACCTGCTCTGCACCAAACAAAAGGCACAAACGGTAACTAGCTGGTGAACATAGTGCAGCTTTTAGCAGCCAAATGTTTACCTCAGGAGTTGGTCAAGACCAAAACAGGAGCTAAAACAGGAGAATATTGGACTCCCATTCATCAGGTGGACACAAACATGACTGATGATGTTGGTCCATAACAGCTGGATGTAGAAATAGGCAACTGTTTGCTAGCAAGTTCAAAATAACCAGTCGAAAGATGATATAAATACCTAATCGTCTTTCTCAGACCCAGTCAGTGTGATTTGAAGGATTATATTGTAATACCACCAGCTTGGCTAACTCCTGAGCAGGTAGATGGTAGTTTTAGCCTCCGCACATGACAATACTGTTCCTGTATTTTTAGATTAAAGCCAGTTTGTGCAGTGAGGTTTCTCTCCGATGAAATAACTGCCCAATGTGGGATTTTGGGCGCCTCAGTGCATTGAGCAACGGAGCATCAAGCACATTTTTCTAATAAAACCTCAGCTGATCTCAATTATTCTCTACATTCAGCTGCAGAACTCATCCCACAATCTTAAAATACGATTCCACAAACATTTACTGAATGTGGTTCTCAAAACTTTTTCACTTTTAGCAGGCGGTCGCAGATTTCAAGGGCAGTCGAGTAGAAAAAAAACGTGTTCCGAGCAGCATTACTAAGCGTCAGTGAGCAAATGTCCTTCACAAAGTTGACATTTTGGCAAAACAATTGCAAATTGTGAAGAAATGTGACTCCTGAACGTGTCTAAAGTCCTTGCAGAGTCGTGCCTCAGAACAGACCACAGTGTGTTTGCTTGAATACCATCAGTTTGTGGACAGAACGTCCAGAGATCCGTGTTCACTGTCGGGCCAATGAGTCGACCCCCTGCAGCTCATTTGAACCCACTGAAGTGGTTTTGTTTCTGCAGCAGTAATGGACCCAGCTGCCACTTAAAACACCCCCATGGTACCATTCAGTCACTTTCCCATTGTGTCTGTGTGTTTGTGTAAGAGCTGTGAGGTTGTTATAATAATGTGTGCCAAAGGGGCTGGACGCTGTGTCCTTGTA